CCATTTACAGCTAACTCCCGAAAGACCCAGATAATAAGAGAGCCCTTTTTTGCTATGAGTGGCAAAGGCGTGAATGAAGTGCATGAGTGAAAGGGGAACAAAGGGTGAACAGTCAGACGTATGTATGTGTATATGCATGTGTGTATGTGTGTACGTATGTATGTATGTATGCATGTATTTACCATAGGTAGGCAGGTAAGTAGGTAGGTATTTGTTGCTTGTGTGTTCATTTATATGCTTCTGTCTACATATGCAAATAAAACATTTTTTATACACATACAGAACCTTAACCTCTTTGAAGATCCAGAAATGCAACGAGCCTTCCGCCCTTTCGTCCAAGCCTCACAAGCTGCGCGTTTCCGTGCTCTGGGCCCGTAGAGGATTATGGTCTAGGCTATAGGCTTTATAGGGTCTAGGGTATGGGTATGCGTATGGGTGTACGGATCGTTTGTGAGAACTTGGCACACTTCTCGATTTGCGCGTGTCATCTATGTGCAGGAGGGTTTTAGTGCTGATAGCGATCCATGCTATAGTTCAGGGGTTATGCATTTGTTTGACGTCAAGTCTACTGTTTCAACAATGAAGGGTGCTAGGTTCAGTCTTCAACTTATCGTAAACCCCTGATGAAACTTCCAAATTGTAGGGGCAGTCGCTTCGCTCTCTGCCCGGCCGTGAGATTAACGAGCCAGTCCAGGGGTTTCGGGTTCAGGATTTAGGGGTTTACTTAAAGGATCATGGGACTTAGTAACCAGGGTTATAATTAGGGTAACTATACACCCCAATTAGGGTACTTATAACCTTACTTACAAAGTCCCATGATCCTCCAAGTAGGGGTTTAGGACTTTTGGGTTGCTTGGACGGTTCAGGGGTTGGGGATCTTGGTTTATCTTTGGACGAAGGATGCGAAGGTCTTCTGAGCCTATTGAATGGAGGCCAAAGTTGGGTTTTGCCCTAAACTACCCAGAGGCCCCAAAGTAGTTCCTTTTTGAGGTTCATATATAGAATCCTATAAGGTATTCCCCAAAAGGAACTACTTTGGGGCCTATGGGTACCTCGAGCAGTCTTACTGTACCTTCAAGGCAACCTGGAGCTGGACGAAGCCCCAATTGCGTTGAATCCAAGACCCTCCACCTCTGAGCGCGAAACTGCAAGCAATTCTTCTGTCTAAACCTGAAAGCTGTTTGCCTCAAACCTCCTATGGTATTCGAAACCCAAGAGTAACCTAGGAACAAAAAAAGGTGTCCTTTTTGGTTTGAAGGGTGTTATGACAAGGGAACCTGAACCCGAAAAAAAGGGAATAAGGGCCTACTCTAGGTCCTAGTATTTGAGACAAAATCAGGGCCTCTCGCTGTCTTTGGAGCAAACTCAGGGCCTCTCGCTGCAACACAGCCTCAGTCCTTTTCCAGACTGGCCCCCTGCAGCCCCGAAATTTCGGCTAGGCCCGGCGCATGCTGTGAGTACTCGTGGCCGCACATGCACCTGCGAGATTTTTCCGGGAGTTGTGGAGAAAAGCTTGGGGTTCAAATGGTCTGGGGCCGTAAGCTTTAAACCCTCGACCGTAAGCTTTAGACTTAAAAAAGAAAGCCCTGGACCCAAAAACCCTCAAACTCCAAACCCGAAGTTAGCTTTAGACCAAAAGCCCTTTACCCAAAACCCTCAAACTCCAAATCCAAAGCCCTAAACCCTAAACCCTAAACCCTAAACCCTAAACCCTAAACCCTAAACCCTAAAACTCCAAATCCAAAGCTTAGGGTTGCAAGTTGAAGCCCTGAGGTTTTCTTGGCAGAGTAGGGGGTGGGAAGTCGGTCAACGGACCTGGGTGAAGCCAGGGGGAGCTTGCACCACGAACAAATGTGCAATATGGGGGCCTTGATAATTAGAATAGGGTTTGGGGGCATACTATACCATAGTTATAACAAGGAACCCACCAAATAGTATAGCTAATTATGAAGGCTCGATAGTGTGAGCAATTAGAATCGGGTTCCCTTTAATGGGGTCTATAAGGGGGCTACTATAAGGGATCTATAAGGGTACTATAATATGGGGGCCTTAATAATTAGGATAAGGTTTGGGGTTTGGGGGTACTCTTTCCCATAGTTATCATAAGGAACCCCAAAGTAGTGTAGGTAATGCTGAGGGCCCTATCGTACTGAATAACATACCAGATGGTAATGAACAGCACTTTCACCAGCTACAAAGATTGCTGCTGAAGTCTTTAGGGCTCCATCGAAACACCATCGCATCTAACACCTGTCGCGGGTGCTCTCCTCGAGGAGAAACCCAACCAAGCCCACTGGTCGAAATCTGAACAAGATCAGCCCTCAAAACAGACAGAGGCTTGCATCCCTGCTGCTCCCTATTTAGTTTAGCGCCTAAGGCGTCGGGTTTATGTATCCTGAAAACTCATTCATCTTGATTAATGCTAACCTGCGACTGTTTGAGCCTGAGACCTGCAAACCCAACTAGTAAATCGGAACTGCGTAGCTTTGAGGTTTTGCCGCTATTCATACGAGGAGCATAAACTCCCTAGTTGGACTTTGGGCTTTGAGTTTGGGTATAGGCTTTCGCATGTCGGGCGTAGCCTAGGGTATGTATCTCATCTCCCCTCGTCGCCGCATCGCTAGTCCCAATGACTACCAAACTCTTCGAGACATTCCTCTCGCAGCGGCAGCGGTGAACCGGTGAACTAACACACACCCTCGACCCTGAAGAACTCTGAACCCCAATTAGGTCCGTCTCTCATTTTTACTTATGAAACCTGGTAAAACCTCCTTACAGAAACCTTCTGGGAACCCGGCCGAAGCCTCGGTAAACACACTCTGCCTTCAGCCCCCTGGCCGTACCTGGACGTCGGGCCAATGCGCCCGCAGAAGTCGTGCCCGCTGGTAGCATTCCGCCAAACCTCTGGTTTGCGATGTCGGCGGCAACCCCAAACCCTCAACCCTAAATCCTAAAGCCAAACCCTACATCCTTAACAGGGTTTAATGGGTATTACAGGGTCTGTTTGAGGTTGGAGTGTATATATATATATATATATATATATATACATATACATATATATATATATATAATATATATATATATATATATATATATATATATTTATATTTATATTTATATATATATATATATATATATATATATATATATATTTATAACGTATAGAATGTACATGTTAGGAACGACTCTTAGGTCTTGTATATGTATCCGCCATGCAGCCATGCATGTACCTAGGAACCTGAACGCAGAGGGGTCCTCAAGTATTGTATTCTGGGACCGCATGTTGAGAGTGCTGACAACTTTTCAGACACCCTATAAAGTTAAAGCAACTTGTGCCGATAGGGGAAAGCTGACAACCGTACTACTAAGAATCTTGAGAGTGGAAATATCACACCCTTGCATCTGATCTGAAACGCAACCTCTGCAACCCTGAATTCTGCACCAATCAATCAAGGCTTGAGGTTTAGGGTTTAACCCACCATGGAGCAAAATGCTATAACCGCCGCACCCTCGAGACAAAATCTTACAACCTGAGAAACTCAACCCTAAATCCCTAGGATACCCAGTAACTTAGGAATAAAAAGGCCTCTCTTTTTGGTATTGGGTAACTTTATAGGGAACCTAGGACTACAAAAAGGGAATAAGGGTACTACTAGACATCCTAGATCCCTAACCCGAAACCCGACTCAGGGCAGCTTATTTTTTGCACCGATCGCCAGTAGCTCAGCCCACCAGCGGCTGTAGAAGCAGCAGACAGCACCCAACCTGTGGCTTGAGGATGTAGGGTCTAGGGTCTAGGGATTTAAGGTTCACCACTCAGGCAGTTTCCATTTAAAGTATTTGGTGTCATGTCTGAAAAAACTACTACTGGGGACAGTAAGGCTTGAGACCAATAGAGTTGGCTTCATAGTAAACGTGTACGGCTCATTAGCTTTGTGGCATAATGCGCAGGCTTCACGTCCGTTGTTTACGATGCTCTGTCTCGTTTTCAATGGTCCCCAAGACTATTCAAAATTTGGTATCTAAGTTAAGTAGTATGGGAAATTCGACCTCATCACCTCATCCCAGATTCGTACCTCGAATGACAAGATTGCAAGCGCAACGGTGTGGCGGTGAGATGGCTGAGAAAGAAAGATGATCAGTCCCTGTTGACACTTTCGCCGAATCGGAGCCTACCGCTAGCCGCTATCAATTTTTAGGAATTTGGGGTTCGTAGTGCAGCTCAGCATCCCGCGAGCAAGACTCCGCTGCTGCAGCCACTTGTTGCAGGGGGCAAAGTACACAGCGGCACCCGGGAACTGCCCGCATCGAACACAAAAGCAGATCCTCGGTGTCCTCGACTGTGCCGACAGCATATCGGTTCCTAAACTGCCACTCGACGCACTTCTCCGAGAATGGGCAGGACCAGCAGAATCGATGGCAAAACCGAAGCCCGCCGAAGAGGCAGGCATCTCAGCAGCCGAGCGAAGAAGCCATGATGACGAACATCGTCTCGGAGTGACAAACTCGAACCGAGATGGTAGCAGTTGGTGTGTCTCAGACTCAGCGCTGCTTGATTTCCACCTCGCAGCGTGCCAGGCAAGAAGTTCATTGAGATTACTTCAAGGATTATTGTTGGGTACTGCCGGCCATACAGTAACAGTCTATAATACGGCTACTATTGAACAAAGTCCTAATACATCGATATTACGAATACTATCAACTGTTACTGATTGGGGGCAGTACCCAAGTTATTACAACGTTCTGGTTCTTGAGCCCTTAAGCTCCCAAATCCGACATCCGCAAGCATGACAAAAACCTAATTAAACAGAAAACCCTAAAAGCACCGGCTTCCGTGTCCTAGGATGCCCAATAACACAGGAATAATAAAGGGCTCCCTTTTTGCTCTAAGCCAACTATATAAGAAACCTAGGACTACAAAAAAGAAAAAAAAACGGCCCTGGTGGGAGGCCTAGTCCCAAAGAAACAAGAGCTGGTCTTCAGCATGATCGAGTCTGCCATCAGCACCGCATCCTCGCATGCCGAGGGGGAGAATTCCGCAGCATTTTGCTTGAGGACGTCCGTTCCCAAAAGGGTCCAAAGTACCTATATAGTAGAATGTAGGGTTTCCATATTAGGAATTACTATGATGATTTGGGAAAGTCTTCCCCATAACAGCACATAGGACCCTTTGGGGTTAGGACAAGAGGCGAGGCTCCAGTCTCCTCCTATCGAACCTCAACTGTAGTTCCTCTATTTGCTTAGCGTAGGGACCTGATTGAGAAACCTTGGGCCTTTATTAGGGTTCTTTATATGAATCCTTTTTGAGATTATAGGCCCAGGGTTTCTTAATCAGGTTCCTACATTAAGCATACAGCATAATTATGGCTGGGAGAATATCATATGCAGCTGCCGGACCAAACACAGGAACTGCAATGGAGGGTATTAATAGTCCACCCCCCAGTAGGGCTTATAGGGCCTTAGGGTTCAGAAGTTTAAAGTTGGGTTCCGAGGGTATTCCCCCTGAATAGGTAGTTTATCACCGATCCCTGAACTCTCAAGACTTTCTGGGGTTTAGGCGCGCTCGGACCGGTGCGCTGGCTCATACTGTTGGGTTTACCCAGTAGTTCGCTTTTGGGTTCATATAGAATCCTATAAGGTAATCCCAAAAAGGAACTACTTTGGGGCCCAGGGGTAGGCTGAGGGCACATAGGGCCGTAGGATTTTATAGGTTGAAGGTTCGTATGCGACGTTTACACGGCTTCGCTTCCGACACCCTGCACCCCAAACCCCAGGGTGTAGAGGTCCGACAGCCGCCGAAAGCCACACTCAACTCCTGTCGGAAAAAAACCCTAAACCCTAAACGCGAGTTTGGGGTTTAGGGTGTAGGACCTGGACAAGCTAAGGCTTTCGATATGGGGACATGCTGGGACAGACAAAACAATGCCTTGGGAGATGGCTTATGTTGTTCATGCAGACGCAGGAGGCCTATGACAGCAACACCTCTCTCCACCCTCAAACGCCGACTGAACTGCGGCAGCCAAACGTCAATACGCTGCAGCTGCAAATCAATACCAGCATTTTCCCAACAGGTCCAAAGTGCTATAGCCAGTACCAGTATTTTTCGGGCAAGCATCCTCCACATAGGTACTTAGGACCCTTGGGATATCCGACCCGAAACTCACCCTCAACCCTAAACCCCTGAGCCCTACCCAGCATCTTGTACCTGCCAACAAGAGTCTCGCAGGTCTCTGGCTGAAACCCAGTCTGCCAGCGACTGGCGTTCATCCTGACCAGCAGCCCCAAACCAAACCGCTGCAACCCAAATCCCTCTCTGACGTTTTTAGGGTTTAGAGGTTTAGGGCTTAGGGTTTAGGGTAAACTGAACCGCCACCCTAAACCTCCAAACCCTAAACTTGCCGAATTGATCGCTCAGCTTGTTTCAGGCTTCGCTTCCCAGAAAAGACTCTCAAATACCAAAAACCCGAACTGCAACCCTAAACCCTAAATCCCTAAACCCCTAAACCCTAGACCCCTCAAAGAGACACTATTCGGCTGGAAGACCTTGGGCTAAGTTCGGACAACGGGCAGCGGGTGTTGCTTGGCGGTTTCGGGGCTCAGGGGCTCCGGAGTTTAGGGTTTACGGCCTATAGTTAGGGATATTAGGGGCTTCGGGGTAGGATTGAAGGATTTTCGGGATGGGGGATAAACGTTTTCATGGCGGGGGCCGTTTTACTAAAACGTCGCCCTAAACCCTGAACCGTTCATCTCAAGTCCTAGCAGAAATTTGAACCTTGCCTTGCTGCTTGAACGGGATACTAAAGGTGCCTTAATGATTAGACTAGGGTTTTGAAGCCCATTTTACTTTAATTATGACAAGGAGCCCTCCACAGAACAAAAGGCCAAACTCACAAAACTCCAGCTGCGCACCTTCTACTTACAAGCGGTTTAGGGTTCAAGCTTCCTATAGGTGCTCAACACAAGTGTGTTTGGTAAGCAGCATTCCTAGCTGTCTCAGAGCGTCCAAATGAAAGGTTTTCGACGACATCAAACCGTAGATCAAAGGGAGTGGAATATGAGGATGTGAAAAACTAGAACCGAGTTCTGGGGTAGATGATAGAGTAAGACTAGTGCGAATAACGAAAACAGGAATAAGAATAATGCTGACACTAATGATCTTTATAATTCTAAGAATAGCAATATCTGTAATAACAGTTCACCTGAACTCCTCTCAAAAACGTGCCTTACTACGTACGCAAAAGGAACTTTCGTATGGACTCCCCCGACTGGCAAGCTTTTCTGCGACCACAACTGAAAACCCTAAAAGAGCCTGAGCCCTTGGATCGAGACATCTGTGCCGAGGTTGTCGGGATGGTGAGTTGAAGAGCTCGGAACGTTCATGCTTCAGGTTTTGTGTGGGTTTCAGACGTGCTGCTATGTTGGAGTTTAGGGTTGAGGGTTTTGTGGTTTAGGGTGTTAGGGCTTAGGGGCTTAGGGTTCAGGGGTTCAGGGTTTAATTAGGGGCCTAAGCCAATGCCACGTCAGCTGTGCCTGTGCACCAACACCGTCCGATCCGTGCAGCTGGATGAGAAAGTGCTCCTGCCAGGGCGAGAACTCATATGAGGCCCATGTGTGTGTGTGTGTGTGTATATATATATATATACGACAGGGTGGAGTTTGTTTCGCAAAATCGCTGTCTACCTACCCATCTGTCTATCTATATGTATGCGGCTCACATATTATGCTATACATGCCTCTTTGTGTTGCTATGTACGACACAGGCCAGCAACAACAAAGTAGCGGTTCGAGCAGAAGAAGGCTCAGGGGCTGAGGACTTCCAGTCTGAAAGCCGCACGTAGGCGCGCTTCACGATAAGACCCTAAGACTCTAATACCCTAAACACTAAGCCCTTAAAGGAATGAGCCCTTACATCGTTAAACCGAGTTTGAAGTTTTCATGACGTGATGATGACTTAGGGGTTTGGGATTAATTGATGAATTGCTTGACGAACTATGGCTTAGGGTTCCCTGAACTCAAAACAGAAACCAAGGCAAAGACGACTTGCGGCTTTGAGTGGTACTTAACACAGCTTGTTCATGGCAGCAAATCAAAACAAGATGGGGTCCTGGTGTCAGGATGGTCATGGAAGTAGCCTTCGTTCATACCTCAAAGGGAGGGGGCTGAGGCAGTCTCAACCACTGCACACACAACTCTCCAGTGCCCGCATCTGCTAAGCCCCCGCACCCTTAATGCTCCTAAAGTCAACCTTCAACCCTGTAAAGCGTAACTGCCCTAGACCTAAACTTCCTAAACCCCAGAATCCAAGCCAGGGCGCTGACGAAGCGGACACCTTCCAGTGGTGCCAGCCTGAGTCTCAGAGACAGCTCCTTGTGCACTTCAACTTTTTTGTTGTGCTTAACGGCTCTCTCTAATACCTATAAACCTAAACCCCAAACCCTCAACCCTAAGCCCCAAACTTTACACTCTAAAACCCTCAAACTCCAGGATGCTAGGCAGAGCTGCTGAACTGAGGCCTCTCATCCCCCCTAGTCCGGGACAGCAAAGCGCCTAGGGGGCTGGGGCACTTGCTTGGGTACTGCCGCCAGACAGCAACAGTCCATAACCGGGCTACTTTTATATGGTTTTATATACAACATATCTACACTGTAGATCTTACCCTATCCCTCCAAGGACATCATAGTTAGGGCCCTAGACCCCTTAAGGACCCCATAATAAGGTCCCTGGAAGAATAGGGTAAATATTATTCAACGGCTACTGAGTGGAGGCAATATCCAACTGTACTCTTGCAGCGAGATGCCAGAAGCCCAACGAGACGTCTGCGGCGCCGCGGACTTTCAAGCGGTGGGCGTTCCGACCCAGGTACTGGACGATCCTTGCTACACTTCAGGTCTGCAGTTTGGAGGTTATATTAACCCTGTGCCTCCAGGGACCTTATTATGGGGTCCTTAAGGGGTCTGGGCCCTAACTATGAGGTCCCTGGAGGGATAGGGTTCAAGTCTGCAGCTTAGAGGTTGTGGTAACATTGGGGAGTTAGGATAGGGATTCAATGCGTATCGCACGGCAATGATTAACAGCTAGCCGGAACCCTGAAGTTAGGATGGTATCAGTAATCCTTCCGACCCCCCTCCCATACTTACCTTTGGTTAGTAGGGAATGGAGGAATGGGGTACAATTATAACCACTATTACTACCATTCTTCCATTCCCTACTAAGCAAAAGTAAGCATATGAGAATTTAGTTTTTTTTTTGTTTGTTTTTTTGTTGGAATCGCAACTGTGGCTTTCGGGCCCCGGCCCCAGGCCACGCAAACACAGACAGTGAGCCACTCGGTCCAAGATCCTCTAGATCGAATTCTCTGAAGGGGATAAATGGGAGTTTCCAAAAATGGAGGGATTCTAATATTAGTACCTTAAATAGTAGGATCCTTCATTACGTAAATTACACCAAAATAATGTACCCCTAATGTTCGGAAACTCTCATATGGTTCCATGTAGATCCTTATACTTCCTGCACTTGGAGGTACTTTGATAGTTGTTTCAGGGATGTTGCAGATGAGAAGAATCGACATTGAGTTTCAGTGTTTGAGGAGCCTTGGAAGACTTGAAACGCGTTGGTGCTGGGAACGGAGCCTCGTGCAGTTCTCCTCGCCTCCCATGGGGTCGCACTACAGTGGCCCTAAACCCTAAACCCTAAGGCCCAAATGTCTTATCATGTCTATGTGGGCGGCCCCGCAAACATAACCGTGAGCCGACATAGTCATCGTCTATACTTACGAAAACACCTGTCTTCAGGAATCTCTAACCCTAAACGGACTCTCTAACCCTAAAGCATAAACCCTAAACGGAATCTCTAAACCTAAACGGAATCCCTAACCCTAAACCCTAAAACCCTAAGCCCCATGAAACAAAAACAACTTAGTTCTTAGATCCAAAGCCATCACTGAGAAATTCAGACCCCCCAGCGGGCCCAAGCTCAAAACTCTAGGGTTTGGGGTTTGTCAGGTTTGCAGGGTTACCCAGAGGCCCCCATAGTAGTTCCTTTTGGGGAATACCTTATAGGATTCTATATATGAACCCCAAAATGGAACTTCTTTGGGGCCTCTGCTTCAGGAAACTCCCTGCCTGCAGGACTTGACAAGAACAAGCAAAATCCAACGAGACCCAGGAACTTTGGACAGTCAACCCAGAGACCTTTTCTAGGATACCCAGTAACCTAAGAAAAAAAAGGCCTCTCTTTTTTGGTATTGGGTAACTTTATAAGGAACCTAGGACTACAAAAAGGGAATAAGGGTACTACTGGGCATCCTAGTTTTTGTACCTGTGCGTAAGCTGTTCTCATCCGGAATGTGGTCTCTACTCCTTTCCAACCCTGACTCGAAACTCCCGCAAACTACCCCGAACTGCCTATTGGACTCACAAATCCAAACCCTCAGCTCCTGAACCTCAAAATCTTGAGCACCCCGAACTCCCCAAATCTTCACCCTATCCCTCCAGGGACCTCATAGTTTGGGCCCAAACCCCTTAAGGACCCCATAGCCAGGTCCCTGGAGGCATAGGGTAAACTGGTGACTCTCTGCCCTTCTTGTCTTCCTCAAAGCCGCCTGCGTCCGAAGACCCAACCCATTCCGAGGAACCAGCGGGGAGCCACCTCTAAGGTTTATTTTGTTTTGGTTGTTTTTTGGGGTTTCGGGCTTAGGGTTTATTTTGTTTGGGTTGTTTTTTGGTGTTTGGGGCTCAGGGTTTATTTTGTTTTGGTTGTGTTTTGGGGGTTTGGGGCTTAGGGTTGAGGAGCTTCTTGGGAGGTGCATAGGGGTGTAGGGCTTATTTCGGGTTCACGGCGGACGCGAAACTGCCTACAGGGAGTGGATTAACAGGGCTTTATAGGTCTTATAGGGATTTTTAAGGCTTTGTGGAGTACAGTGAAGGCGGCTTTAGAAATTAGAGTGTGTGCTTTCGACATACTCTACTGATGATAGATTTAGAAGCCCTCAGAGTAATATTGTTGGATAATCAGGCTCCCAGATACATCCTTGTAAAAGTTTGAAATGCCCTGGATAAGTTTAAAAATTCAGGCCCTGCTCGGGGAGGGTGAAGTTATCAGGCTGGAACCCGTGGTGTTCAGGTTGAGGGTTTGGAAGGCTCCGAAAATGGGGTACCCTAATATAGTACCCTAAATAGTAGGATCCTTATTATAAGGACCCAAAAATAAACAATACCCCTAAGTTTCGGAAACTCCCATTTAGGGTGAGGGTTTGGGGTTTAGACTTCGGGGCGCAGCGATTTTCACGGTCGATGAGATCTGCTCTGGGTCTGTGTGGTGCAGCCTACTATAGGGCCCAAACAATTATCCATACTATTTTGGGGGGTTCCTTTAAGGGGTCCTTCAAAGGGGTCTATACGGGATCTACAGCAGGGTTCTATGGTATCGGGGCCTAAATACTAACGCACAATCACTATCTGGTGGATCCGTACTATGATTATAGTAGAATGGGCCCCAAAACTCTATTCTAATCACCGTATTAAGACCCCTAAATTGCTCGGATCTGACTTTGGTGCGGTTGACAGCAGGAGATAGAGTACCGGAGAATGGCACCCCTGCTACGATGTGCGCTGAACTGCACACTATAGATTATAGATAGCTACTACAGAGAATAGTTCTGGCGGTCGGCGAGATCATCGACATGATGGTGCTTCATGACGCTATTCTTGCTGTGTTAGAAATCAATGTCGTAGCAGTGGAGGTGGTGTCCGTCATGCTAGTGGTGGTGTCGCTCTGGTAGGGTGCTGACCACTACGCCGGTACATATTGCTGATATGTTGCTTGCTTTTCCCCACCTAGAGGCTCATACCCTACCCCTGTTTTTGGATACCTAGTTTTCTGGTTGGGATCTGTGGTATAGAAAAGTAGATACCTTAAAGAAGGAGTCGTGTATGAGCCTGGAGGCAGCTGGTATCCCCGCCTTTGATCCGAAGTACCTCGCCACGCGGGCGATCTCCCTTTGCTTCGTTTGGATGCAGCGAGGCAGTTGGTCGCTCGAGACGTCCTCGGTCCGGACTGAGACTGAGATTTCTCTGCTCGGGTTCTTTAAGATCTATGTAATGTGTGTGTGTGTGTGTGTATGGTTGTCTGTATGTATCTATATATATATATATATATGTAAATGTACAATATGTATACTATAACTTAATGAATATACAGGGACTTGGTTGCCTTTGCCTCTCTTGAAGCATTAATTGAACGGTTTAGGGTTTAATGTGTTCTAACGCCTTTTGCTGGCAGCACGAGTCCAAAAGCGAAGACTTCGCCAGGCGTGATCTGTTTGGGGTTCGGGATCAGGGTGAGGGTTTGCTTCAGGGATTTTAAGGCTTTGTTGGGAGATTTGTGGTGTGAGTCAAAGAAATACTAAATCACAGGCATCCCTGGATGCCTCCCCCCCCGAACTGTAACAACCCAGACTTCATCATAACCTGCATCGTTTCCTGCGTAATAGTACAATCCCAAAGATTAAGCTCGGATGTCGGGATTTGCGCTACAAATTTCATCCCAACCAGTGAGTTTTCGGATTTGTATGACTCTGGAATTAGGCTTTCACGATCGAGTGCATGGGATAAGCGCTCAGGATGTGGATGATGTGGTTCTAGTTTGCAAATGGTGTCGAGTGCATAGGCTACCTAGAGCCTCGCACCCTACCGCGTCTTTGGTTAGGTTCTGCTGTATATAAACAGGTAGTACCCTATAGTTGAACGTCAAGCCACTGTGCCATCGAAGATGTTGCAGTTCTCAATGGCCATCATGCAACCTTGCTCACAGGGTCCTACCTATATACTTCCAAGTAGGACCGATATCATCGGACTTCCTTTAAGTTACGATTATGGATATCATGGATTGACTAAGTATCTCCCATATAGGTACTCGTGAGTCACTGGGTCTGCACAAACAGCAAAAAGCTTAGAGTTCCGACAGGGGATGTCTCAGGCTAAGCTCCCCGCGGGCACCCGCGGGGCGGAACGGCAAGGCTTTGTAGGGGCTTCATAAGGGCTCAATCAGGGCTCAGCAGGGGGGCTACCGGTTGCTGTCTACAAGGCCACCAGCAGCACCATATGGCATGAAATGCTCGAAACCCTCCACAGAGCCGGTTATCTGCCTCATACCCCTTCGACCACCCTCCATGCATTGCATCCACTGAGACCCTCAACATGGAGCCCATAAAAACCCCAAACCCGAAACCCTCAAAAAGACTAAACCCTAAATGTTCCAATGTTCCACCGAACACAAGGCTCAAAAGGGGGCGGTGATCTTCGAGAACTCTTACGGAACCCTTGTAGGACTCATGTAGAACCTCATTTATTGCAAGAACCCCATGCCAAAAACCACTCGAAACCCCTAATTCTAAAACCAGAATACCCCGAACCCGAAACCCACTCAAACCCCCAAACCCTAAACCCCAAACCCACAAAAGCCCTAAGCCCTGTCAAAACCCATGCCCCCTTATAGAAAGCCATTTAAGAACCCATTGAACTCCGCCTCCTTACAGCTAGACCCAAGAGTAGCCTAGGGATAAAAAGGATGCCCTTTTTGGGTTAAAAGGGGTTATAAGACAACCTGAACCCTTAAAAAGGGAATAAGGGCCTACTCTGGGTCCTAGACAGAAACCCACTCAAGAACCCCCTCAATCCCCAAGTCCCCAGCTCTTATAGAACCCATGTAAGAACCTCTGAAACCCTCATGGCTTAAGAACCCCAAAAACAACCCCAAACCCCCGAACTCCTAAAGCGAGCTCAGGAGCCTCCGACGGAGAGCTCCGGAAACTGGCTGCAGAAGTCTTTCAGCTCGGTCTCGAAACAGGTTTAGCATTTAGGGTTTAGGGTTTAGGGTTTTGGTTTAGGGATTAGGGTTGAGGGCTTTGGTTTAGGGTTTAGGGTTTTGGGTTTTGGTTTAGGGTTTAGGGTTCAGGGTTTATGGTTTAGGGTATGCGTTTATCTAGGGTTTAAGGAGTAGGATGTAAAGCGATTTGAGGTTTAGGGTGCAGGATTAACACAGATTTCATGGTTTAGGGTGTGGGTTTAACAGGGTTCAGGGTTTGGGGTTTAAGCTTCAGAAGGGTTTTGGGTTTAGGATTTGTAAGGGTTCAGGGCTTATGACGGTTCGGAGAGTAGCAACAGTGACAATGACGATTCGGGCTTCTCTCGGCCACTATGGCTTTACTTTAGGGGTTGTAGGATTCTGTCGGGTGTTATGGGGGCTTTCTGGTATGTTTAGCTGTGGTAACAACACATCCGTTCATGACATTAATTAGGCTCCAGGGTATGTGCTTTAACCGAAAGGCGGGCTGCTTTCAGTTTCGGTAGGGTGCGGAGTTTAAGCTGGCAATGGTGGAGCTCTGGGGCTGTGTCCCTAAACCCTGCATCCACACACCCTGAAACGATACTGAGACTGAGAGCACGACAATACTTAGTATCTGTTACAAGTCGATATGATTCTGGCTACCTTAATTACCTGTAACCGGACTTACTAAATTCCGTGACCCTTTAAGTATCGTGCCGGAGCTATGCCACGGCTGTACGTGTAAGACCCGCACTCAGAACTAGAGGTACTGGAGCCGAAACCATGGCACTCTAATGTAGGGCCTTAATAATTACCTATACTATGTTGAGGGCTCCTTTTTGTAAGTACAGTGAAATATAACCCCAAACCCTATTCTAAATATTGCAGCACCGAAACTGCCAGACCCGACAAAAACCCGAACAGAATCGTGACGACCTAAACTCCTAAAGCCCTACTGAACCTATACCCCCCTTAGAACCATAATAAAAGTAGTATGTCTTTTTGTTCTCTTGGGTTTTATATGAACAAAAAATAGAAATAATTCCTAAGGATACTATAGGAACCTTCAAGACTGACACCAAAAGCCCAAGACTCTCCCAAGGACTGAGGCCTGGGAGTTATTCCAAGACACACCGGAATATTTGGTAGTTTCCGAACATTGGAGGTACCTTTGAAGGGATCCTTTAAGGGTTCCTTGAAGGGATCTACATGGGTTCTATAAAGGGTTTAGGGTTTAGAGTTTCCAAAATTAGGGGTACCTTGTTACGGGGTCCTTATAAGGATCCTACTATTTTAGGTATTATGTTCGGGTCCCCCATTTTCGGAAACTCCCCAGTTGAGGATCTCTTGAACTTCGGGATGCCCGTTTTGCAAAGTCCTCACGACGGGAATGTTGCTTATCGAGATTCCTGAGGAGTCCCCTTAAAACAAGTAGCAAGTGTACCCTTGTTCCTACTATTTAAATTGGCTTTTAATTCGGGACCCCAAAAACCCTAAACCCTAAACCCTAAACCCAAAAACAAAAAAGGGCAAAAGGGTACTACTCAGGAACTTAGTCCTTAAGAGCCCAGGGATTCGGAGGTGGCTTCGCACCCCCAGGGTTCAGGGTTTAGCGGTGATTGCACTAAGGTTCTATTGCGAATATTTGAAGGAGCCCCATAAATGCCCGAAAACCCATAACCAAAGGAGGAGCACTCAAACACTTGGTAAACTGAGCTTTACTGCCCCTCACCCTCCAAGCAGCACGTCGCCTGGCTTCGGCAGCGGTCGCATGGGTCGCAGACTTCACAAACCTCAGGGGCATGGTTCGGGTTCGGGGTTTCATTGCAGAGCCCGCGAAAAGGAGTTTTTTGTTCAGGGTTCCAACATGTATCCTTACTATGAAATCTAGGGCGTAGGTCTTAACAAACTTTCAACCTGCAGGAATCTATGGGCTTGTATGTGGAGGGTCGCAACGAGAAACTTTATGAACAGCGCCCCTGCAAACCTGAGCAGGAAAATCAGGCATCATGATAATGCCACTAAAACCTTCTCCCTAAACTCTAAGCCTAAGCCTCAAGGTCGAAAGCTTCAATCCTAGACCTTCAACCCTACAGACGGCTACACTAAACCTGATGTCTTCAAACCCAAACCCTCATTCCGGACACTCTAAACATCCCTAAACCCTGTACCGGCGAGCCCAGGGACTAAACCCTCAACACCCATAGATCCCAGACAGAGCCCTTTAAGGAGCCCTTTAAGGGTACTTCTGGGGAGCCCAGGGACATGCATCTGAGACCAGTCAAGGCTGGTCTCCATGATGTAGCCCATGGCAAGTGAAGTGCTCTGCCTGGGGCTCTACACGGCTTGTCATCAACCTTTTTCTACAGCGGAGACCTGCTATGAGTGAACGAGATAGACTGGGTGGTGGGCTGTCTGTCTGTGGTAGTAACATCCTGCCCCGAAGAAGATCCTAAATCTTGAGACTGTAGGCTTTCGTGGCCGGGGCTTTCGGCGGGTGCAGCGTTTGTTTGGGCTTCGGTGCTTGGGGTTTGGGATTTCGAATTTAGAGGCCTGGAAACGAAAGCCCTCAGCATCATGCTGTTTCAAGGCAGAGAAGCCGCGAAACCCCGAAAATTGCACCCTAAAACATCAAGCTCTGAAAATCCGAAGCCCGAAACTTGTTCCCCAGAGGCTCTTTGCGAATATTCTAACAGTGCTCCTTTGGTATCCTAGAGAGGCTATGGCCTGAAACCGTATCCTAGAGAGGCTAAGGCCTGAAAGCGTATCCTAGAGAGGCTATGGCCTGAAACCATCAAACTCTCATCCGCAGATAAGTCCGAGGTGCTGATTCTGCAAATGGAAGACTAGCCGTGGGATGTTCCTGGGTGGTCGTGCAGGAACTTAACTCAATTACCATGACTGGGGTCAATAGTACGTGATAGAGTTCCTTATTCTGATAACCATGACGAGGATCATTAGCAAAGAGTAGGGTACCTTATTTATGGTAAACTAAGTTCCTGAACAAGAACCCAGGTTCAGGAAGCTGTCGTCATCGAGGTACATGACGTAATCGTGCTCGGGCCTGTGAAACGTGGAGCATGCTTCCTTGTCTGCTTGCAGGATCAAGGGACTAGAAAGAACAGCCATAAGCAAGGTAAGCATCAGCTGATGTCCTGCCCAACGAATAGTTATCTAGGATTTAGCTAATTACGACGGTCTTGTGGTTGCGGACGGTATAAAATAAAAGCCAGAAAGTTGGAAGATTATCCTAAACCCTTTATGGTAAATCATAAGGTATCCTACCCTGAAACCATATTCCAACTTTCTGGAGTTCCCTTTAAGACAACAGACAAGCGAGAGTAAGGCCAGGAAGAGGAGTAGGGAGAACAGCTGGCTGCTGATTATGCGAAACGGATCGGGTTTCGGGGTGCATGGATTTATAGTTTTGCGGGCGTAGGGTTGCATTCGATTGAAAATTCTGCACTGCAAAGCTGCCGTGGCACTGGCTCTCTGACTGATACCAAGACATGTGGACTCTCCCCCGCACACGGCTAACGGGGGCAGACCCAAATAGTGACCTCATGACCTTCTGCCACCTTTTGAAGGCCCGATCTGCCCCCGGAACACACTTAGGGGCTAAGTACCCTTGCCCAAGAAGGGTTAACCCTTTAGTTTATGGTAGGCGATATAGACCAAAAAATTGCAAGGGGTTGCTGACCCAGCACCTTCTAAAGCTCTGAACCCTGAAGTCTTTTTTCGTACACCCACGCAAGAACCCGCGCAGGACCCTTACAGAACCATTCTTGCGCCAATCCACAGCTTTTGCAGAACCCCAAATCCTAAAACCCACCACAAAAACCCGGAAACACAATCATCATAGAACCCGTATAGGACTGTGTAAAGCGAGCCTTTAAAGGGATGAACGGGACTCGACCCTCGACTCAATCGGCCTGTTCTTCGCCAGCCACGCACTGCCGTGAAGCAGCCGATACGTCCGCGCGCAGGGCCTTCCAGCAAAGCAGAATAGCCAATAGTGGGCTTTGCAGGGGTTTAGGGTTTAGGGTTAAGGCCCCAGTGGGCTTTGGAAGGATTTCATTAAGGCCCTAGTGGGCTTTGTCAGGGTTTCATATTCGGGCCCTTGATGAGGATTTAATAGGTTGTCTTAGGGGGGATGTTGAAATGTGTTGTCGATCGAGATTTCAAGATGTTTTTTGTGCAGAGACTTTCTTAGAGATTCTTACGGGCTTACATGGTTTTGTGAAGTTGAAATAACTGCAGTTCATAATCGTGCGGGCCCCGTGTTGATAACTTCCCGTAAGTAGCTTTCTCTTATGACCCTTTCCGTAGTCACTACGAGGGGAGGGGGGGTGTTAATTAGGGGGTCTTTTTGGTTCGAAACGGCTCTTCTCAAAGGGAGGGTGGTTGGAAATACTGCACTTCCTGGTCTCGGCGTCCAACAACAACAATCAAATTCAGTAGCGAGTTCTGGAAATCTGCGACAGTTTCTAGCGGTCGAAATGCCAATAAAAGTTGGGGTGGTTGCCTGTTCGGTAGTAGCTCTATGCTGACCTAACTTGCAATGGCAAGCAATGGCAACTTCATACCCCTGGCGAACGAGTCGGCCAGACCCTTATCCTGAAGAGCTAAACACAAACCCTAAACCCGTATAAGCCCTAAACCCTAAGAACATCTATGAATCGTCCCAACTCCACAGTTCCCCAGCTCTGGGACCCTGAAGAACACAACCGTCGCTTCCTCAGGCATCTCATAGCGGAGGAAACCTTACCCTAGCATGATGTATAGCTGATGTATGGCGTCCTAACATGAATCCTAGTATGATATAGGGCATATAGACACAAAAGACTGGTTCTAGTATCCTAAAACCACCACCTGGCCCTGAACTGTAGACTGTTAAGGTCCAGTCGTCCCCGACCTCTCCAAGACGTAGGTCACATCTCCTCAGGATCGGAGAAGAGTACAAAAGGCGGCTAGGGTCGACAAGCTTGTAATGCAGGCTGGTATAAGGGCTGCCTGTATAGACCTACTATGGATCTTGTCTAGAGCCTTGTCTTAGATGTAGAGATTTGTGGCTGTGGTGTTGTACGAATATTGCCAAACGAAGAACTACGTTTGAGCGTTCTGGCAAATACTACGAGATGCTGGCTTCGGGGTATTGGGGGTATACTCGTTACGGCTTCAGTAATATGTGGCGCTTTGACTGGCGGCAGCTGGAAGTACTCTTGTGAAGTTGTAGTCACTGTAGTATTTCGAGTCCTGGATGCTCCTGTAGTGCTCGTCTTACAGCCGCATCACTCTACGGCAAAGACTCCAACCCCCAAGACCTGATGCCCCCAGACCGAAACACAGTAAAGCCACAGAGCCGAAACTCCCGATTCCCCGATCACCTATCCTCACAACCCTCAAGCCCAACTTGAAATCCGAAAACGCCAGGAAGAACAACCCAAATCCCCCAAACCTGGAGTACCTGCAATGCCTGCAACCCCAAATCACGACCGCAACACACTCAAACAACAAACAAAGACCTGCTAGACTAGGATTTCTCGGAGTCTCGGCAGTTTCGGCTTTTTGGCGAGGCCTACTACTCCCTGCCCTGCAGTCCAGGATTCTGGCGACGGCTGGATCGGAATCTGGACCCCCCACCTGAGCCACTATGGGATGTAGGGTGTAGCCTTTGTCTAAATCTGACACGCTTTCTTCGTCCGATTATACCAATATCGCTGGACCTTAGAGAACCTACAATTTTGAGGACTTGTATAAGAACTCTTAGATACGGAGCCCTAAAACGGTAGATTCTTAGACCCTAGACCACCATAGATCCCTGTAACCCTTAAAGGAACCCTTTAAGGATACCACTTGGGGAACGGCCTCAACAAGATCGCCGTACTCCACCTCCTCTGACCAGGCCTGCGCCTGGGCCGACACTGACGGTTCTCGAGGTTTGAGCCCAGCGCTCTCGGATTTCGTGTTTAGGGCTTTGGGGTTTAGGGTTTTAGGGTTTAGGGTCGGGGTTTTGGGGTTTAGGATATGGGGCTTGGGGTTGAAAGGGGCGAGAGGGGCTAGCAAAAGCCCCACCCAAACTTAAACTCCTTAAAATCGGGATCTTCATGCCCCGAATCCGGTTTGGGGTATGTTCCACAACATCTATGTCGGGAATATAGGAGATTTTTGCGAATTATGTCGACCCTATATTAGACAAGAAGCCAGACAGTTGGAACATCATTAATCTCCTGCCCTTGAAGTCAAGTGTAGGGAATCCCAGCATGAATCATCCAAAACTTACGTTCAAACTTTCTCGGGTTCACTAAATAGTACACCCGGAAACCCTAAAATCCTAAACCCTAAAAGGTCTAAAGCCTAAAATTCTTAACAACCAGAAACCCTAATTACAAGCCCCAAAACCTAAAACCTAAAGCCCTGAACCCTACCACTCTAAACCGCAAAGCCCTAAACCCAACTCTATAAGTAAAACCCTGCAACTCTAAACCCCAAACCGTAAAACCCGAAACCCTTACCCTTGGCCTTTTCCCCCCCCCTGAACCCTAAAACCCTAAACCCTAAACCTTAAACCCTAAACCCTAATCCCTAGTCCCTAAACCTTAAACACTAAACCCCCCCCCCCCCCCCCCCAGCCACGGACCAGCCTCATCCTCTGCACCCGGTGCTCCCATGAAGAAGAGGAGCCTCTGTCACTCACGGTTTAGGGCCCAGGGTCCAGGACCCCAAACCCCAAACCCGAAACATGGCAGTTCCGGCTTTATGGTTTAGGGGTTAGGGTTGTAGGGTGTTGGGGTTAGGCGTTGTATGGTTTGAGGGTTAGGGTTATAGGGTGTGGGGGCTTAGGCTTTGGGGTTTGGGGGTTAGGGTTATAGGGTGCGGGGCTTCGGGGTTTAAGATTGAGTTTTAGGGTTATCGGGTGCAGGGGTTCAAGTTTGGCATTTAGGGGGTTAGGGCTTAGGGTTTAGGGGTTATCTATGGGTTTGCTTTTGGGTCTATGCAAGCAGTCTGCGATAGTCCCAGCAAGAACGATGCCCGGATTCTTGAATTAGGTGATTCCTTCAAGGTGTGCCTAGGGCGGGAAATTACCCCGTAAACCCTGCAAGCCTTGAACCCTGGAAATCCCACGCCCTAAACCCCCCAAAACAGACCCAACAACCCCAAAACCCTAAAGGCCTACAACCAAAACTCCAAAGCCCTAAACCAAAGAGACCCAATCTCAAAAAAAACTGCTCTCCACGACGGGGGACTCGACCGTCGCCGAGGGCCCGGGGTCGCAGTGGCGCCTTGGTCGAGGTCATAAAGGGGCCTTAGTAATAAGAATAGGGTTCCCTTTTAAAGGGGTCTATATAAGCGCTACTACAAGGGATCTATAAGGGTACCATAATATAGGGGCCTTAATAATAAGAATAGGGCTTTGGGACCCATTATACCATAACTATAATCAGGAACCCCCAAAACACTAGGGCCTCTTCTCAAATAGTACAATTAATTATTTAAGCCTCTCCAGTATAGAATTTGTTGCCACCGGCGTTTCGTGATGCTGGACAGTCTCGCCATGGAGCAGCCCCGATGTCAATTCTTCCACAAGGGGGCACTAACTTCTGTTCCATGGCCGGCACAGGCAAGGATAATGTGTAGAAGATAAGATTGCAGAAGCATAAGCACAAAACTTGCCCTGCATGCTTGGAGGAGTATATTGCAGTAGGTTTAACTCGGGACTAGAAGGGACGACCATTACTAATTATTATTGGCACACTGGGTCCGAAGAAAGGCTTTGAGATGCTTTGAGGCTGAGGGCTTCGACCGTCAGCACAGCCCATAAGCCCTAAGCCTCATGAACCTCGAACCTCAAATGCTAAACTCCTTAACCCGAAACCCCAAAACACCCTAAGCTCTTAACCTCAGACCCTGAATCCGAAGTCCTGAGCCGTCAATCCAAAAACTTCAGGCCATGGGCTCCGCACCTGAACTCTCCCAAAGGAACAGGGTAGCAAGCAGGTTTCCAAAGGTAGTTGCGCATATCTGCTAAATCTTAGACCTCAAAAGCAGGGTTTCTATATGACTTGGCCTGTTACAGTATATATAAGATCTTAAAATGTCTTAAAAGCAGGGTTTCTAAATGACTTGGCCTGTTACAGAATATATAAGATCTGAAAACTTCTTAAAAGCAGGATTTCTAAATGACTTGGCCTGTTTTCTATTGCCCCCTACAAACCCCAAAACTTCCTGAACCCTGCAACCCCCAGAGTACCCGGGACCGGTTGCCAGGTGTTGATCTCAAGAGGCCCCAAATTTGTTTATCACTAGGGCTCTAAGTTGAACAATAAGGGAAATGAACAATTATCCATAGGCTCCATAATTGCTCCATTTGGGGATTACCTTATAATTAGGATTGTAAAGTATGAACCTGCAAAAAGGAACCACTATGAAGCCTATGGGTGTCCCCATGCAATCGACACCTATAGTTTGGGACCTTGACTCATCGAGCCCAGCTGCGCAGCTTGACGCAGGGTCTGCCTTCGGTCGATCGCCGCCCATCGGCTGGTGACCATGATTCCTTCGGAGCTCGAAAAGTTTGGGATTACATAAGGTCTCTAATAAGCTCAAGGTGGAGGGCTTAGGGTGATTATATGGTTGTGATTCCTTCGGAGCTCGAAAAAGTTAGGGAGTTTAGGGGTTATAATATGTCTAGGATTTAGGGTATATGGTTCTGATTCCTTCGGAGCTTGAAAGTTAGGGAGTTTACGGGTTATAATAAGCTCAGGGCTTATAGGGTATATGATTATGATTCCTTCGGGCCTTAATGCCCATAGTATAGGCCTATTTAAGGAAATATAGTCCCCTACCCCCCTCCCCCCTAAGGGTCCGTATGACTTAAGCTGCAACCTCGGCTCCCAGTCGAAGTTCTGCGCCACACAGCTGAAGCCCAAGCAGCAGAGATGGAAAGGCTCGCATGGCGACACATGGGCCGTGTAGGTACGAAGTCAAACGCACTTCCATCTGTATGCATGTCTGCTAGATGCTTGTCTTTGGTATGCTTGGGCTTCGCAGCACAAGCATCGCGATGGCTAAGTGTGATGACATTTGGGTTGGGGGCTACAGGGCTTAGGGCTCTGGGATGTTTTCGGCAAAGTTGTAGGATGAGGGATAAGAGTTTGGTTGGTGCGTACGATATACAATGTTCAGAATCCAGAATCTCCACCCGTAGTTACGGTGCACTTCAAGCCCAAAAGTGCGACTTTGCTTTGCTTGTCCAGTTAGCTCAGCAAATGAGAAGCTGTATCGTTAAGCTGGCAGCAAGGTGTTTGTTTCCATCCCGTATAACATAACTTGCACACTGCTTTCGCCATCAACTCCTAAACGCGCTGAACACTAGCATCTTGCTGGCGAGGGTTTGTGGGTTTTACCTAGGCCATGAAGCCACAAACCCTCAATGACACAAGTTTCGATGCTGACACCTCAAACAAGGAAGCCAAACCCAATCTGAACAAACCCAAAGCCCTGCAAAAGACCCGCTACACAACAACCTCCCCCCCCCCGCCGCCAAAGTCCTAAACGCTAAACCTTTCACCCTTCGGCCCACTACCAGGGCAGGAAGGCCTCCATAGAACTTCAAATGGGGCTTAAGGCTTAGGGTTCTCTGAACCTTCGAACCGATGTCCTGACCATTCAAACAGATGTCCTGAACATATGGATCGAGATCCTAGGGTCCTAGGCGTACTCTTCAAACCAACACACGCAGCACGTTGTAAGGAGTCATTGCGAGTATAGACATGGCTCACATAAGCCAGGGACCGCACAACTCCATCCAAGCAAATCAAAAGCTCTGCATATGCATAAGACCTGAACACCTAAAAAACACTGAATGCCCTTTTGCCCTGTAGAAACCCCAACCCCAAAACCCTCAACCCTAAACCTTGCAGAACAAGTATAAACAAACACAAAAGCGGCTCCGAGTTTCCGACCCCGTAGAGGCCAGTTCTGATGGCCTCCTCGGCTGCTAACTTCTCTCCCTCCATCATCTTCCTGGAAAAAAGGGGGGAGGGCTCTAGGGCTTTGGGGTTGAGCCTTTGGGCTTTGGGGGTCTAGGGTTTAGGGTGTAGGGCTTAGGAGTTATAAGGGTTTCGGTTGTAGGGCTGAGGGCTGAGTAGGGTTTAGGGCGTACGGGTGAAGCGGGGTTCTCGGTCTGAAGGTTTAAGACCCAGAGAGCCCAATACCCCTTATTTAAGGAATACTAAATTATATAGGGCTTCATATGATTTAAGCTATATTCCTTATCTAAGGGGTATTGGGCTCTCTGGGTAATCAAGGTTGTCATTTTCCGGAGAGGCAGGGGCAGGGCTCTGTGGCAAGCTGGTTCGTCGCAGGGATTATTCGGACCTTCAGTCATAGTGCTTTCAAGGATTCATGGCATTTTATCGCGTTGTATACGGTCATCAAGATATGGGGAGTGTGGGGTCCCATTATATTCCTGCGGTGATTCTATGAGTGGGCTCGGATCGGTGGGAGGGATGGAGCTTCCCGGTCTGGGCTCAAGAGATTAGCACCCTACCTGTTGTCTGTGATTAATTAAGGGGCTTTGGTTTGGGTGACAAGCCGCTTCTGGTTGGTTAATTGTCGATCCGGGGTTGAGAGGTGGTGGGAGAGGAATTATGGGCTGTGTTGAACCAAGTTGCAGATGCTTACCTGTCTACGGGCTGAGGCTCACACACTTTACGCAAAAGGCTTTTGCAAGTTTAAGGGCTCGGTGGAGCGGATCCCATGATTTTGGATTTGCTTCAGCGTTTCGTCTCGTAGCTTGCAACTCTAGAACCGAGACTGCACTCCCTGATGGAGGTTTGAGGTGGGAAATTATCTGAACATACGGTCCTCGTTTTAACCTCGGTGGCGCCCTCAGCCACCCCAGAACCCTAGTAGGACCACTTTAGAAGCCTCATTACACCACCGCTGTTGTAACCGTTAAAGCAACGCTAAACCCTAATAGGATAGAACCCTCATGACACCCTTATAACAACTTTAAAGAAGCCCTCACCCATATAGCAACCTTTAGAAACAAACTTACCCGGGCCAAAGCGAAGAAACCGAGCCGGACAGACTTGCCGCCCGGCGTAGGCCCGAAGGCTTTGACGGCCTGTGCCCCAAGAAGAAAGTTTATCGTGGGGGAACGGGGGTGTAGGTCGAGGCTTCCCTGATGATTCTTTGTTAGTTTTGCGTAGACAGTATGGACAGGCGTAATCAGGGAGGTTCTATATAGGAAGGCATCTTCGACCGTAAGCATTACGAGCACTTCTGGAGTGCCAATTCGTATGGGCCTCTAGCGTCACCACTACGCTTACACCTCGTGCCACTCTCGGTTGTGCTTAGTCGTAACTAGTGGTACGAAACACCAAACCCGACCATCATCACCAGCATGATAAAGGAATGGCTTGGGGAATGGCAGTGGTGGCATCACGGCCCTGCTGCTAACATCTACTCAGTGCTGATCCGGTGCCTCCTGAGAAGGAGACAAGATCGCTAGTCTGAGGCTTCGTTGGGCTTGCACGATATATGCAGCATGCATTGCGGAACAAATGGGCTGCGGACTTCCGATTCCCCACCAGGGTAGTCTTGGCTTTCGTCTTAGCCTTCTGCTTGGGCCTGGATCTGTCCAAGTCTCTACCAAATTCCGCACTTCCCGAGGCCATGCCAGTGCCTGTAGACGGGGCACTGTCCGAATGATGGGCGGTGGTCTCCCCTCCAGCCCTGTGAGCGTCACTGCCGAGGTCCACTGTGTCGAAGTGGAGCACGTTCGGGTGGAACTGGTCGCCCGGAGTCATTGGTCGAATCTCCACGGTAAGGTTCGCGAGATCACGTAGCCCCCAAGGGATGATGGCAAGGACCTGTTGGATCTCCATGTCTCGTTGTCTCAGCGCTCCTTCGACTGCATCAGCGATGTGATGGGCCAGCGCTTGCTCGGCCTGCAGAAGGTGCAGCTTAAGATCCCCTATTGTGGTGCTTGATGTGTGGCTATACACTTGCGAGGATGGTGCAGCGTGCTAAAGCTTCAAATGTGCTGATTTTGCAACTTGGTTCAGCTCCTATCTAGTAGAAGTAAGGCTTCGATGCAAATAAAGACAGCTGCATGTGATGGCACTTAGGACCCTGTATGGCTGGTGTCTACAACTCCAGCAGAAGGAATCCGCCGTTTGTTGAGACTCACGAAACCTTCTTCGGGTAAATCTGCTACCTTAAGGGTGCGTGTGCCCAAATAGCATGTAATTTGTTTTTAAAGAAGCACCTAAGTAGGGACTACTTTAAGGCCAGAGTGTATACTACTTGGGTAAATGGACCTTTTGGGCCATGCTTATCGACCCCTTTTTTGAACCCTAGTCTAATATTAAGGCCCCTATAGTAACCCCGATAGTCGATCCTTGCCTTCGCGATATTGCTCTCGACCTGCCCCGGACGAGGAACCATGTCGGCTTGAGTTTGCGTGGAGCCTTAAAAGAGGGTTTAAGATTTCAGGGTCCTGTGAGGGTTCGGATTATAAGGGGCTCTTAACTATACTGAACTTAGAACCCTAGCAAAAATTATAATTTTAGCTGTTTCTTAGGGATTATAATGACCAAAAATTAAAAACTATTTCTCTAAGTATCCCTAAGTTAAGGCTATTTACGAAGGTTGCTTTTCAAATGAAGTGGCCCCTTTCTCCGTGCAGCGAGTTGGCCTTGCTATACGGCTTTCACAGCGTTCCATGGGGCTCTGTAGGTTTCTTCCAGGAGCTTTTACTCGGCTTCCTTCGAAGCATCCCCATAAAGGGTCTATAGGAGTTTAGGATAAGTGGTTCAGGGCTTGGGGCCTGGGGGTTTGGGAGAGATCAGGGTGTGTTAGATCTGCGAGGTCCAGGGGTCGTGCATAGGCTCTACATGCTTTCTGAACCGAGAAATAGGTAGGTTGAGATGCGAGGTCAACGTGCCCGGCTTGGGTTCAGGGTTTAGGGTTCTTGACTTCGGATTCAAGGTTCAGAGCGTTGGAGGCTGAAGGTTTTTAGGGTTAAAGTGTTTTGATTACAGAAGGGACTGTCCTTTGACTATGAGCACCCTTTTTGTATCCAGGGTTCGTTGTACGTGCTCGGATCATCAGTTGATGTAAAGTCGTCGCGAGAGTCGTAATTCAGTGTGAACAGAGAGACGAGTATAGGTTCTAGGTTTCTAAGTTATAAGGGTAGCCCTGGAACATCGTTGGGGGGGGGGGGACAGGATTCCGTTTCTAGAGAAATGACTCGTCAAGTTACAGTCTAATGTGGGCCTCAATAATTGGAATAGGGTTTTGGGGCCCAATATACTATAATTTTGATAAGGAGCGCCCCCCCAACATCGTATTGGTAACTATTCAGGCCCCATGTTACAACCCAAATATTAATACTACCCCTTATAGTAAGCCTAGTAAGACCCTTTTTAAGAACCCCTTAAAGGATCCCTATCACAGTCTAGGGTTTTAGCATTGAAGCTTAAGCTTCGAATGGACCATGTCAAGGACAAGCTATAACTGCTAGAGGAAGCGATGGGTTCAG